GGTAGTACTTTTTTAAAAGTTTAAAAGTGACTGAGAGATTTAACTGTCCGATCACGATCTGGAAGTTTGTCATACACAGGCAGATATGGTGTCAGTAATAATATAAGATGTGAAAAGTGCCTGTATTTGCAATGATCACTAAGTCTGTGAGTTCCGGGTTACCTTTCAACTTCACCAGTGAATTCGTTTATGTGTATTTATTCAAATAACATCCTGTTCCTTTTCTTTCCGTCTTCTCTTACTTTCACATATCCTTGCACCAGGAGTGACTGCTGCTACTGTTTGATTCATAGCAGCTGAAACCACAAAACACACAACAAGCAAAAAACAAAATGGAGAAAAAAATAAGGCTACCTTTATCATATTTATTACACCTAAATGATGTTGACATTGGTACAAAGATACCTTTTATGTGGCGTCATTTGACAGCAGTAGTTGATATCTTATCTAGAGTAATCTTGATCCCACTAATCCATATATTATATTACCATACAAAGGAGATTAAAGGATTAAAAGTAATAAAGTGCCCATAAAGAGCACTTTTCTTACGAAACCCTATTTTTGGTCTGGAGCAGTGCACCAACCAGAGCAATAGAGGACCAAAGTGGGGCATCAGCCACTTGACATATTTAACCCCCTGCATAACTGATGGATGCAGGGAATTAAAACCCTGCATGACTACAAGGTTAATTACAATGGATCTACTTTGTTTGCTCTTTTTTTCCATACTGTTCAGCTTTATAAATTCAGTCTGGCATTCCGTTTAGATTATGATTAGGTTTATTTTAAACTCTTCCTTGTTTTTTATCTTGCACACTTTTCCCTTATCTGATATCCCAAGTTCCTTCCTATTTTATGTTTTAATCCTCTTAAACCACTTGTCATTAGCTAGTATCAAAGTTCACGTTCAAGTAAATATCCTTAGGAAATCTTGGCAGTGATTTAGGAGTTGGGGTTACCAGGTGATATATGACTCTTCAATACCTGTACATAATGGTTTCCTATTTACTGTGTCATGATCCAAAGGCTTGGATGTTTTCTGACCTGGAACAAGAATGCAAATTAGTTGTTCTAGGTTCCCTGATCAGCCTGCTTATTCGTTTATAAAGATTTGATTGAAGTTTGGCATAGACAGAAGAAACGTCAAAGGAAAGATGGTACAGTACACTTCAACAAATGGGATGAGGCACAATAATAACTCCTGTACCTATCCACATGTAAGCACCAATCAAGAGTAACAGTATCAAATACAGAGTTAATGAGTCTGCCGCGCAGCAAATTCCATACACCATATGCTTAACCTGAGTTAAATCCCATATTACATCTGGGAAAGGGAGGAAGGAAGGAAGGATCCCAGCAAATCACACTGTGTACATTTTTTTGGTAGAACTTTATTGAAATGTCACAAGTGACATTTCATTTAGTTCTACGAGCACAGCACCATACAAGGTGGATGTTCCTCATCGCATGCCGCTGCACTGACAAAAAATACAGCATGCTGTACTTTTTTTCAGCACACACCACCATGTTCTGCAACACAGTGCTGTGAACTGAGCCCATCCGTGACAAGGCACATTGTCACAGACAGTGCAGCCCCAAGGCATGTGGTGTGATTCAGCCCATAGATACTCAATCCAGGAAGACCACACTTTTAGAAATTTGGGGTATGTATAATTAAGAATGGCGGTGTGTTTCTCATTGATCATAGTACTTGTTATGCATTGTTTGACGTAGCGTTCTTATTCTAAATCATGGAGTCCAGAAATGGTTAACAGAGAGAAAGCTAAACTATTGGCGACATCCATGTTTACAGGTTTGTTATATTTTATATACAGTATACAAATATCTTCAGGAAAGGTTAGTAAAGGTTTCCTTTAAAATAACACTATGTATTGTGCTGCCAGTATATGGGCATTTTGCAGCCATGTAATTTCATTTTCCAACAGTTTTATCCATGATTGTTTTATTTGTATTTCCCCATTTGTTTCCCGAACCACTAAGGCTGGGTTCACACCTGGGCGTACTATAGGCGCGTTTTTTCTGCTCGTTTTTCACGCGTTTTTTAGCACGTTTTTTGTTCAGTGAAACGCGCGTCGATGCTCGTTTTTATACCTCCCTGGCGGTATGATTTTTTTCCCCCCTTATTTTCTATCTTTTTTTCGGGGTATGTTTTTTTTTAAACTTTCAAAACTTCCCGCCGGTTCCGCCCCCTGCGACGCGGACGCCCGCAAGGGACGGAAGACGGCAGTGGCCGGAGGACACAGCGGGGATCGCGGACAAGGTAACACCTACTCTGTATTCCCGAGTGTGGCTTGGGGTTACCGCCTTGTTAACCCCGAGCCACACTCGGGAATAACAATGGATACACGCTGAAATACGCCCCAAAGAAGCTCCTGTACTTGTTTGGGCGTAGGGTGTTTTTCAGCTTGTTTCCACGGGCTGAAATACGCCCAGGTGGGAACCATGCCTATAGGAATTTATGGGATTTCACGTGCTGAGCGTTTTTCAGCGCTTCAATCAGCGCTGAAAAACGCCCAGGTGTGAACCCAGCCTAAGATCTCCATATACCCACTATGGTCTGACCCATGTGCTCCTTTCTTTGCACACTGACACAGCTAAATGTTCAATAGAAATGAAAACATTTGACTGCTTTCTTACAGAAGCCAAGTATTTACTTTCATCACTGAACATTGAACATTGTTCACGTTGTACACATCCTGTATGAAGCTGGTTCATGACTTTCCATACAAGCACTGCTCTTATACTCTAGTTTAGTTCCTAAAATTGTTCTTTCTTTGCTTATGTTTTCTTTATTTGACTTTGGTTTGTCTATAAACTTGGCAGTGATATCCGAAGGCTTCCGATCGCAGTTCCAGGGTAAGCACAGAACTGGATGAATAGATGACAGTGAAGATTGCCACGTCACCATGCAGCAATTTGTACATGGGGACTCATAGACGGATAAGTCAGCTGCATTGTATATAGAGATAGTGAACGCTGTGCAGGTCACTCTTTTTGTACATGGGGACACATAGAAGGAAGAGTCAGGTGTAGGTCACTCTTTTTGTACATGGGGACACCTAGAAGGAGGAGTCAGGTGCAGGTCCCTCTATTTGTACATGGGGACACATTGAAGGAAAATTCAGGTGTAGGTCTCTCTATTTGTACATGGTGACACCTAGAAGGAGGAGTCAGGTGCAGGTCACTCTTTTTGTACATGGGGACACCTAGAAGGAGGAGTCAGGTGCAGGTCACTCTTTTTGTACATGGGGACACCTAGAAGGAGGAGTCAGGTGCAGGTCCCTCTATTTGTACATGGGGACACATTGAAGGAAAATTCAGGTGTAGGTCTCTCTTTTTGTACGTGGGGACACATAGAAGGAAGAGTCAGGTGTAGGTCCCTCTATTTGTACATGGGTACACCTAGAAGGAGGAGTCAGATGCAGGTCACTCTTTTTGTACATGGGGACACATAGAAGGAAGAGTCAGGTGTAGGATCCTCTATTTGTACATGGGGACACATAGAAGGAGGAGTCAGGTGTAGGTACCTCTATTTGTACATGGGGACACATAGAAGGAAAAGTCAGGTGCAGGTCCCTCTCCTTGTACATGTGGACACATAGAAGGAAGAATCAGGTGTAGGATCTTCTATTTGTACATGGGGACACATAGAAGGAAGAGTTAGGTGTAGGATCCTCTATTTGTAAATTAGAAGGAAGAGTCAGGTGCAGGTCCCTCTATCCTGTTTCCCCGAAAATAAGACCTAGTTTGGTGGTAGCATGTGAGGGGGAACTTGCAGGAGAGATGGTATCAGCCTGCAGGGACATACTGTATCAAGGGGGTGACAGGGGAGTTCCTCCGGCCAGCCCAGTGACAGGGAGCACTCCAGTACCATACTTCACCAACTACTGTCCCCCTGAAGGCACTGCTTAATGTAATAGTACTGTACTGTATTGTGTACCGGTAAATGGTACCATACTTTACTGCGCTGTCCACTGTCTGATGTCCCCACTGCTGCACCGCTGGTACCACTGTCCCTGATGGCAAAGCATGCCAGCGCTGTAGAAAGCAAGGCTGCGGAGGCGGAGCGAGCAGAGCCGCATTAGCAGAAACTTCCTCTATAGCGCCAGTTACTGTGACAGGCGGAGTGATACCACATAACTTTTGAATTGTTGTACATTATGTTGCACAATAAAAAAAAAATAAGACATACCCTGAAAATAAGACCTAGAGTGCTTTTTGGGGTCAAAAAAAAATATAAGACAGTGTCTTATTTTCGGGGAAACACGGTATTTGTACATGGGGACACATAGAAGGAAGAGTTAGGTGTAGGATCTTCTATTTGTTCATGGGGACACATAGAAGGAAGAGTCAGGTGTAGGATCTTCTATTTGTACATGGGGACAGGTAGAAGGAAGAGTCAGGTGCAGGTCCCTCTATTTGTACATGGGGACACCTAGAACGAGGAGTCAGATGTAGGTCCCTCTATTTGTACATGGGGACACATAGAAGGAAGAATAAGGTGTAGGATCTTCTATTTGTACATGGGGACAAGTAGAAGGAAGAGTCAGCTGCAGGTCCCTCTATTTGTACACGGGGACACATAGAAGGAAGAGTCAGGTGCAGGTCCCTCTATTTGTACATGGGGACACCTAGAACGAGGAGTCAGATCTCCTCGTTCTAGAGGTGACTAGGTCCCTCTATTTGTATATGGGGACACGTAGAAGGAAGGCGCACCATAGAGAGGTGGGGAACGCCTGCGCCAGACAAGTCACGCTCGGAATCCCAGCGTCAAGGTTACACACTAACCGACCCTACTGCCCAGTGGGCGTGGCGTTGTGTGGGTGTGTCAATTCATATCCAATAGAAAACGAAGAGCCGGCGGATCCGGAGATGTGATTGCAGGATTTGTCCTCCCAGGCGCTGTCTTATTGGACACGATGTCCGGATGAATGGTCAGTCGGTCGGGGAAGGAGTAGACAGCATTGTAGAGTAGGGGCAGGTATGACCGGATACTGCTAGAATGTGCCTTGATTGATCCGCACCAGGAATGGCTCGGGACAGCACGGAGACTCGCTTCCTGGAGGTGCTGGACCGGTTCGGGGGACCGCAACATGTCCAGCTAGTGGGAGAACTGTGGGACCGGGCGGAGAGCCGGGCTTTGCTGGAGGGATTTCTGTGGGAGCTTTTCCCGGCTGAGCTTCCCCTGGGAGCGGACATACTGAAGAGTGAAGCGGCTCAGCAGGGCGGCCGTGATGACAATGTTTCCCGGTGTAGAGGGAGCCCGGGGCACACCGCTGATAGGAATGCACCCCAGGGAAAGGAGAGCTCCGGGCACGGTGGTGTCGACAATGTTCCCCGGGGTAAGGGGAGCTCGGACCAGCGTACTCCATCCCCCCAGTCTAAACCGGATCGGACTTTAAACTTTGGACTGGTGTTCTTCTTGTGCCGCCCTAAATCTTTACAGGTTCGAGGGACGAGTCGTCAGCTGCGGGAGATCCTGCGGGATGTTCGGGAACGGATGCCGGGAGGGGGCGCTGTGATCGGGGTGATAATGAAGCCGGTCAGCACTGAGAAGAGCGGTGACAGCGGGCAGGAGATGGAGGTGATGTGTGAGGACGATGGTGGTGGCGGCTCTGAGGCTGCTGTCTCTGCTCTCCTGACCATGCTGCAGTCGGTGTTCCCGGTGAAGAGTCGGGGCAGACTGTGTTCAGAGGTCCGAGCCTCTGCCCTGATCCCCGGACAGGAGGAGACCAGGAGGGACATCCAGAGACTGGCCTGCGAGGCGCTCACAGCAGCAGGTGACCTAACCCCCCAGCAAGAACAACCTGTCACTGGCCACATATACTACCATTGTATCAACTGCTGATTTGAACGTGTGTGTCCTGATGAGGTTGCATGAGACCTGCAGAAAGTGAAAAGTTGTACTTAAAGAACTCTGGAAATATCACAAAGCTACATTACCCCACACTGCGAGGGTTAAAAGAGAACTAATGGGTAACCTTTTTTGGCTATAGTACTCTTTAGGGTCATCGGAAGACATATAATAATGTCATCCTGTGACCCAAAACTCGGCATATGGCAGGCTATTGCCCACTATATACAGAGAGTACCTACCTACCTGTGCTGTGCCTGGGAAAGATCCCGACAATATTGTCAGGATCCACCCTGCTGCCTGATTGACAGCCAGCTCTACTGTCTCTTGACAGCTGTGCCTGTCCCTTCCCCTGTCCGCTCCTCCAATGAGCACTAGAGGAACGGAGAGGGGAGGGGGAAATCCCTGCGTAGGGTGGTGACTGACCCCTATGCAGGGAAAAGACTGGGAACTGAGTGATCAGTGGTTTGTGATCACTCGGCTCTCAATCAATAGAGCCGACTTGTGACAGCTGCATTGTTACACGTCTGCTCTAATTATGGGGGATGAGTCTATTTCACTCTCCCCAAATTCTCTAAAGTGCTTGTTTTGTATAGAGGGGTGAAATGAAGCAGATTTACTCACTCGATCCTCTGCACTTGCCTCTCTTCCCCCCTCTGCTCCGGCTATAGAATATCACAGGTGATGTAAGTCAATGGACCTGCATAAGACGTGATATCAGCAGTCCTTAGACTGCCGGAGCCCAGCAGAGAAAAGGCTGCAGGGACTGGTCTGGCAGCCTGGAGGGCACAAGCGAGACCAAGGATCAGGTAAGTAAATCTATATTTAAGTCCTCTTGACAAATGAGCACTTAACCCTTGCAGTACTGGGAAAGCCCTACTGCAATGGTGAGTTTAATTTTAATTCCTCTTTAATATGTGACCATATGTATTTCAATCTGCTCTTCCTTTTTATAGACCATGTACAGTAATTATACCTAAACAATCCATACAGTTTCCACGCATCCCAGCTCTTCCAATCTATTACTCACAATGGAGCTTTTGCTTGGCAAAGTATGTAAGCGGAAGTTGCGGAGCTCCTTCTAGAACTGCTGCTTCCCTGGATACCCTACTGCTCCACTTGTTGCAAATAAAAGCTGGACACAGGCCTTAAGATTTTGTTCACCTCCCCTCCCCCCATGGGCCGAATGAGAAAAATCATGTGATGCCCTTGGATGGGATGAATCCCTCCTGCCTAATTTTGTGAATACCTGAACAGTGACTGCATCTGATGAGCACTGTTCAGCTACGAATTTTCTACCCAACTCCTTCAGCAAAATTTGTGTGAAAATTCAGCTTTTGTTAGCCGGATGATGCTGGCTCAACAAATTTTGGACTATTGAGTAGGAAACTACAGATTATTTGATGTGTATGGCCCATCTTCAAAAATAAAAACTCCCCGTGCAGTGCAGTGCTGTACAGCAAGGGTCAACTGCTTGTTAAGAGAACTATGGGGTAACCTTTTTTTTTTTTTTTTTCCCCCATAGTTCTCTTCTGGGTCACGGAAGGACATATACTAACCTCCTCCCGTGACCCAAACCTCAGTATATAGCGGGCTATTGCCCGCTATATACTGAGAGCGCCGCAGCCGGGACAGATCCTGACAATACTGTCGATCCACCCGGCTGGCGGATTGACAGCAGGCTCTACCTATCTAGAGGCTGAGCCAGCTGTGCCCGCCCCCTCCCCGGTCGTCCCTCTAGTCAGAGCTGGGGAGGGGGGGGATCCCTGATCCCTGCGGGTAGCGGTGACTGACGGTCATTGCTCTCTGTAGGGAGATGATTTGGGAAGTGGACAAGCAACGGTATGTGTTCGCTCACTTCCTGAACAATAGAGCCAACCTGTGACAGCTTCACTGTCGCATGTTGTGCTCTAACTAGGGATGAGTGTAATTCTCTCACCTCATATGTCTATGGGGCATGTGTAAAGGACTTTTACTTGCCTGATCCCCTCTCCCTTAGTGGAGCTCACCTTTTCTCTCCAGCTTGTGGACTGTCCCTTCGTGTCCTCATGTATAATGCAAAGCTATTGGCCCTGTATTAGTTGTGATGATGTCAATGGGACTCTGAGCACCAAAGCACACGGGGAGTAGGCTGCGGGCACCAATCTTGGAGCATGCTGAGGGAAAATGGATCTGGCAAGTAAAAGTCCTTTGCACAATCCCCCTAAATATAAATAAAGTTAACCCTTGCAGTGCGGGGGTAGCCCCACCACAAGGGGAAGGGTTGTTGTTTTTTTTAAATTTATCATTTACCTGGAGATGGGCATTAAGTATTTAGATCAGGAGATCTCACTTTGCCGTGTGGGTGGGTGGTCGGGCACTCGCCAAGTATTGCAGTCAGTAGATCCATCTAATTAAAAGCTGACTTTACACAGAAAATGAAAACAGCAAGGCTTTTTAGTGCAGAAGAGACATACCATTTCATAGGGATGCACAAAACGGACTTTTTTTTTTTAGATCAAATCCCAAATTTTAGAATTTTGTCAGGCTGAAAAAAAAAGTTGCTTTTAAAATGTTTTACATTGTTTGTTTTTTATATATATTTTTTTAATGTTGGAGGACTTTGGGGAAATATTAGGGGTCTAAACAGACTCCTGATATTTCCCTTTTTTAATACTGTATAGAAAAAGAGATTGAGGACACGGTCCTCAATCTCTTGTTTTTCTGTGGCCCCAGCACTCACTGAACAGGAAGCTCTCAGTACAGAGGCTTCCTGTTCATTCACAATCTGAAGATAGTAAATATACGATCAACCCAGTCATGAATAGGATAGGAAGCCTCAGGTTTAAACTGCTTCCTGTTCTATAAAGTGAGCAGGTAATAAATATTTGATATAGAGCATTTCCTGTTCATTTATAACTGGGGACATAGATATCGCTATTCACAAAAGAGTGAAGAGTTTGGAGAAGGCCGGAGAAGTAAACAATCTAGGACAACATAACTCACTGGAAAGTGAGCTGAATTGGAGACTTTTCTTAAATCAGCTATGTTGTCCTAGATTGTTCACTTCTCCTGCCTTCTCCAAACTCCTCACCCTTTTGTGACTAACCCTGGAAGTGATCAGTACTGATCGCTCAGTGTTTGTGCTCTGCTCTCCATCCTGACTGGCCTGCCCCCTACCCCCTGTCACAGGAGCCTTCAAGAGCTTGGCTCTCCTCCCCACATTGCCTGCTCGGCCTCCTGACAGCTCTTACCCCCCGCAGCTCCTCTCCTCGCTGGGAGCCCGCAGGTGTATCGGCTCTGTGTCCCTTCCGATCCCTGCTGCCTTTGCCTACACAGACGAGGGAGAGCAGTGGGTATTAGCGGGGACACAAACCGAAGCTTGGTGCCGGTGCCCATTGAGGAGAGAAGCTGGGAATGCACAGCACTTTTTGTCTTTTTTTTTTTTTTTTTCCTCAATGCTATCAACATTTTGAACCATAGTACAATTTTTGACCAAAATGTTTCAGCGGATGAAAATTTGGTGCATCCTACCATTTAAGCATGTATTAAAGATGCTTGCCTTCCTGTTCACAATCTTCTTGAGACTGTGCAGCTCCGTGTACAATCGTGGCACGTCAGGATGAATGAACTCCTATGCCCAGGAGTTGTCATTGTGCAGCTAGTCAAGATGACCAAGGATCCTGAACCCAGAGGATGCTAGAGAGGTGAGTATTGTTCTGCTTTAATATCCAGTCAGGTAGGGATGCACCGATACTAGTATCTGTGCCGATGCCGAGTATTTGAGCGAGTACTTGTACTCTCCCAAATGCTCTTATACCTAGCCCGATACTTGAGCTTCCGATATCAGGAAGCCGGGCAGCGAGTCATTACTCGTTGCCCGGCTTCCTGATTGGCCGTGAAGTTGGCTCCATGCATGGCCAATAAGGGATCTGGGCAGCGTGTAATGACTAGCTGCTCGGCTTCCTGGTTGGTCGGGAAGCTGGCCAATCAGGAAGCCGGGCGCCGTGTAATGATACGGCGCCCGGCTTCCTGATTGCCCAGCAAGCCGGCTCCATGCTTTCTCGTCATCTAGTGACGAGAAGCGTGGAGACGGCTTCCCTGCTAATCGGGAAGCTGGGTGGCGAGTCATAATGGGACTTTCGGTATCGGTGAGTACCGGAAAAAAATATCAGTACTCGATACTGAAAAACCGGCATCGGTGCATCCCTTCAGTCAGGTAATCCACACTACATCACACTTCTTTGGTAAAGATGAATACACTGAGTGGCCAGATTATTATGACCACCCCATCAGTACTTCGTTGGGCCGCCTTGTGACTCCACGAGATGTTGAAAGGTGATGCGAGGAATTTGACACTGCACTGTTGCCCTTCTGTTGTCTTGTACCAGTCTTGCCACTCTCCATTCTGCCCTAACATTGACTAGTCGCTGACGGCCACAATTTGCACGTTCAGACCCAGATTTTCGGCTGACAGTCCAGTCTTTAAACACTTTAACAACAGCTGCTCTTGAACATTTAACGAATTCTGCTGTTTTGCACCAACGATCATCCCACGTTCAAAGGCTGTTAAATCGCGTTGTTTACGCATATCTTCAGAAAAAAATCACTTCTGTCGTGGTAAACAACCTGTTTCCCTATTTATAATGGTCTGGCCCTCTAGCAACTTCAGTGCAAAATTTATAGCTAATTTGCCTACAAACGTCAGGTGGTCATAATAATCTGGCCACTCAGTGTATACAATCGGATTGTAGTATGTTACCAGCTTTAGGGCCACCCAATCAGACGCTTTAGTATTTCAATTGTATCTTGGGAAAATGGAAGCTTGTGTTTTGGCATTTTTCAGCTTTTTTTTCTCGTTTGCAGAAACCGCTCGATTTAAAATTTTTTGATCGGTTGGGGAGAAAAATCTTTTCAGAAATTGTGTGTTGCCAGCGTTCTAGTCCTCCAGACCCCGCCCCCCCCTTTTTTTTAATCGCCAAACAATTGTCTTACATTTTGGTTGTACCACTGAACCTATACTTATATATACCTATACTGCAGATTGTAGTGTGTGTGGTGATCTTGGCATTGGTCACGCATGCTGCAATATTTGCTGCACCTCTTGGTGAAATGTTGTGCAGTGACCCAACATTAAAGCCTATTTCTAAGACCAAAAAACTCCCCTTGCAATGGGACTGACCCTGCACTACAAGTGTTAACTGTTTTTTCTTTTTTTCTCACCTGATCCCTGCTCCCGTAGGCTCCAAGACTGGCACCTGCAGCCTCCTCTTCCCTCTGCTCCATAAGTCAGAGGTCTGCTGACATCATCACATCTAATACAGAGCATTATACATGAGGATGCCGAGGGACAGACCACAAGCCAGAGGGGAGAGAGGCGAGTGCTGACTGGGGGGAGCAGGAATCCTTTGCTGTGCTGTTACATTTTTAGTGCTGTCTGTGCCCTCTTTGGGGAGGTTTTCTCTCCCTTCCTGTCCTGATGACAGCTGGTCTCTTAGACAGGAACTGAGCGGAGTCTTCTCTATTTATTTTTTTTCCCCAGATTGAGGATAGATTCAAAC